AGCATGAGGAGCCGAGGAGAAGCCTGCTGAGGTCTAACAAAGCAAGGACTTGGAAAAGCAGAAGTTGGATCTATCTCTTCTCTTGTCCTTGTGCTCCTTGTCCTTCTTTGCTCCTCCTTCTCCTCCTTCTTCTCCTCTTTGTCTCTCCTTCTCCTCTTCTCTTCCTCTTCTCTCCTGCATTTGCATCCTGTCCCAGTCTCATAAAATTCCTCTTCTGCTCAGCTCACTACCAAGACATCTGCCTCCCCTTCATAAAGGTGTTTTTAAAGTTTCTTTACTGAAGCAGCATTATTTTCTCAGCACTGAGAAGTTAAAAGTCGTCCTCTGAATTCAGCTTATTAGCAGCAAAATGAAACCCGTTTCCCTGCTGTGTCCTCATGTCCTCCTCAAGGGAACTTCTCCTTGAGTGTATTTTCAGATAGTGATCCATCTGTTTGGGTTGGCTCAGGGGTTGCTTCGTCACAATGACTCAGGCTGCCAAAAAAATACCTGGTGACATAGGAATGGGGCACCATGCTGACACACAGCCAAAGAAGAGATGATGAGGCCATGACACTGAATGGATGGCACTCCCTGGGTGACACACGAACGCAAGGCATGTGAGGAGAGGGCAGCTTTGAGGCTAGCACAGAAGAAAGCTGCTGGCTTCAACTCCTGTCCACCCTGACAGAGAGAAAGTGTTTTCCTGTTCCGCAACTGCAAGGGCTGATACTCTCCTCAGGAGGTCCATTTCTAACTAAGAGTGCAAAAGCTCAAGCAAATTCACCAGGAGGAAGTCTGAGCAGGAGAGCATCAGTAGTACCTACAGCTTTACTGGGGATTATTGCACTGGAAAGGTTGGTATGGGCCTGCTCTCAGTGGATGTTTGCTGCTCAGCCTGCCTTGCGTCTTGCAGTTAAGTCCAGGCAAGTTGGAGGCAGGATTTGAGCCATGGACCGTGTGCCAGAGCGCAGTGAACATAAAATGGAAAGCTGCAATGTGTGTATGAAGTTGGAGAGACAGGGCAGGAGCTTACTCAATGCTATAAATTTTAATTCTATTTTTTTTTCCTGCCACTGGGCCTTTCAACAGATACTTGTCTTTAACAGTTTTGTTGAATGTGTACATTTACAGTAGTCTTGATGTTTGCTCTGAATGTCCAAGACAGAGAGTTTTGGAGATTCTTATGCTGGTGAAAGGGCAATAACTGGGTGAAGTGAATGTGAGGAGAGGATTGAAAAAAGGAGGAAGAAAGGGACCAGAATTTGGTTTTTTGAACTTGGAAAAAAAAGGTTAAGCAAGAGGGAGGCTGCTGGTTACCCTGTGTCTGTCCTCTTTGCTGCTCGGCTGCTCTCAAAGAGCAGTTGAAACCCAAAGCTCGGGCAGGTCTTCACCAAATCTATAGTCCCAAGGCCTTTGAAATATGAGATGATGCTTCCAAGTGAGGGAAAGCTGATCTTGTGAGCTGTGTAACAAGGCTGGCTGCTTTGCAAACTGCCTTCCGTGGAAAATGTCACGCTTTTCCCTTTTCTGAAGCATTTGTGAGATTTTGGTGGTGGGTCACTTTGGGAAGCCAAGCTTCCTGCCCCATGTACCCCCTCTCTTTCTGAGCTGAGAGTCAAAATCCTTGTGGCTCCTGTGGCCCTCAGTGCTATTTATTCACATTGTAATTGGAGGACAGGGTGTTCTTAGCAGCCCATTCTTATCTTCTCAGTGTTAATGCTTTTCTTTATTTGTTTTTATATTTAAAGTCAGGATGATTCCTGAATTTTTTTTTCTACTTTTGAAATGAGATTCAGCTTAGACATGGAGATTTTTTCTATTAACTGTCATTCTCAGTGTTAATGCTTTTCTTTATTTGTTTTTATATTTAAAGTCAGGATGATTCCTGAATTTTTTTTTTCTACTTTTGAAATGAAATTCAGCTTAGACATGGAGATTTTTTCTACTAACTGTCATGAGCTTAATATTAAAATTTGCTGTTTATAAGAATAATAGAAATGACCTGGAGTTTCCCAGCTTTACATCATAAGAATAATCCTCACAGAAACGCCAAAGCAAGGAGAGGACTCAGGTATGATGAAGAAGGAGAAGTCTGCAGGGTTCATTTTCCAGATGGACAACCAGGTGATCCAAAATATAAGCCTTAGATTTTGTATCTCAGCAGCTTGTTTCGGTGCTTTACCACATGTAATGTAAATTAATCCCCTCACACTCTCAAACTTTCCTAAATCCTCTGTGCTATGAAGCATGCCAGGAGTGGGAATAGAAAATGGATCTGATTCTCCTGTGGCATTAGGTCAAAGTCTTGCATTAGCTAACTGTAGCTGCCTTATTGTTCTATATTTAAACATTGGTGGCAGTGATAACATCATCAAACAGCAAATAAAACCACTGCCCTCTGCTTCCTTACAGTGTTTTCCTTTCCTGTACTTGTTTTGAAACTCTGCAGATACATATAGAAAAGCAAGTTACTTCCAGACTCTCCATCATGTGCCCAGGTATCCCTGATAAAACAGTAATTAGTGAAAGAAATAGTTTTTTAATGAAAGACATGAAAATTAGGCAGTCAGAATCCATGGTAGTAAAATCGTAACACCAGAAGGGGACATACTGGGATTTATTCATACTACCCTTTATTATAAAATATTGGTATTTATTCATCTAAGCCTCCACCAAGCTGCTGTGTTTATTTTTAACACTGATGTCAAGTACAGATTAACATTAGGATAATAACAACTCCTGTTTCAAGTAAGTTTAGAGTACTAAATAAGTTGGGTTTTTTGTGGGTTTTGTTGTTGTTGTTGTTGTTTCATCTCCAAACTGACCAAGAAGTGTTCATTTTTGCTACTGGAGCTCCTTTTCTGGTGCCACTGTTCATTATTATTTGGACATCTGTCTTTGGACAGCCTAACCTTCAAAAATACAGGTTCTGATCTGTAATATCTACTACAGATTTGCCCAGGCTTTTGTTTGAAATAATTTCTGTGGCCACTGATGGTGCTTTTCCATCAACAGATGGCCAGGTCTGATGGGGAACGACACAATCTCAGTTGCCATCAAAAGCAAGTTTTCCAGTAGTATATGCTTAGGGATATTAAACATTGATTTTTTTTCAAGTTTTGGTAAATTCTGCTCAGTCCAGATTTTACATTCATGTTCTTTATCACTTCATTCCCTGTGTGTCACCTCACTTGTCGCCGTGCTCCTCTGAAACAGCCCGCTTTGATTTAGATAGGATAATATCAAATGATTTCGTTCAAGCAGTTGAACTTAACCCCATTCACTATTTATTTAAAATAAAACAACAGAAAAACTCCAAACCGTAACCCCAGATCAAAAATGTTTTTATCACTTTCAGTCTGCCATAATTCTACCGAATTTCTTTCTGCTTTGAGCTGTGGACTCTCATTTATTAAGGTTCATTTCTGAATCACTTGTAGTGGTGGAAATCTGTTTGCCAGCTACGAATCAGGTGTTGGGGTTTGATTTTCTGAAGCTCTATGTGTCTTTGTGGACATCAGAGTACCAGTTTGATTTCTGACAAAGATGGGGTGCTGAGGGTACCGCCCCTCTCATTTTCCCTGCAATTCAAACCATTATCTGAACAGAATAAATGCAGAGGAAACTGGTTGAGGTTCTGGGTGCAGTGACAACCTGGGAAAAGTGTGGAAGGTGCCATGTCTCATATAAGCCCATGTTGCTGTTATCAAGAAAACAAAAAAATAGGTATTACATTGAATAAATTGTGATCGCATGAATGTTGTCTCCTAACCTAAAAGGCAAGCTGAATTTCTGGTGGGTCTTGACAGCAGACGAGATGCTTGTCTGCTGACTGAAGCCAAGTTCCAACAAGAACCAAAATAGAAGTCACCAAATGGCACCTCTTGCTGTAAAAGGGGAAAAGCATTTAACTGGCAATATTATTGTGAGCAGCTGCTGTGGGAATTCAGCAAACTAAGAGGCCTGGTAGGTCAGTGATGAGGCTTCTTTCTCACTTGGTAGTGACTAAGAGGGGGATGGCCAGGATGGAAAGGATGGCTGCATTCCAGCTGTCTTTGAGAAGGGTACCGGTCTTGCAGAGTGGGCTGGGGATGGCTCAAGGATCAGAAGTTACCAGGGTAACACCGGCGAGCAAGCAAACAACTCCCCTTAACCTCATCTCGAGCAATCAGGCTAAAAGTAGGTTGCTGGGGCTTAAGGTTAAAAGTAAAGACATGACCAAGCAGCACCATTGAAAAGCCAGCTCTGCTCATGCTCTACAAACATCCAAGGACTGCATTTCCCTGCCAGAGCCGACGCTTTTGTTGCTAGATACAGAAAAAGGCTAAAAGTTGTACATCAGCTAGGAATGTCTTCTGACGGAGAGTAATGCTGACAGTTGGGTTTTCCCTGAAACACATGGAGTTTTAGAAGTGGCTTTTCAATTCAGCAATAGACCAAGGGCTTAGAAATCTGGTTCATGCCAAAGTGAAGCTAATAATTGAAGAGGTGAGAAGGCTTATTTTATGGTAGGGTGATGGGACTATTTGAATCACAGAATCCCAGAACGTCAGGGACTGGAAGGGACCTCAAAAGCTCATCCAGTCCAATCCCCCTGCCGGAGCAGGAACACCCAGATGAGGTTACACAGGAAGGCGTCCAGGTGGGTTTTGAATGTCTGCAGAGAAGGAGACTCCACAACCTCTCTGGGCAGCCTGGGCCAGGGCTCTGTCACCCTCACTGAGAAGTTTCTTCTCCAATTGAAGTGGAACCTCCTGTGTTCCAGTTTGTGTCCGTTACCCCTTGTCCTATCATTGTTTGTCACCGAGAAGAGCCTGGCTCCATCCTCGTGACACTCACCCTTTAAATATTTATAAACATGAATGAGGTCTCCCCTCAGTCTCCTCTTCTGCAAACTAAAGAGACCCAGCTCCCTCAGGTAGGATGGTGGGATTACTGGGTTACACAGTTGGACTGTCACAGCTTGGTGGGGAGGCGCGCCCTGCTTCTAACCGTTGCATTTGCCTGCTTCACCCAAGGTCCAGTTAAAAAGTGAAGAAACTAAAACGTTTGCCATGAAAATACTGAAGAAACGTCACATTGTGGACACAAGGCAGCAGGAGCACATCCGCTCGGAGAAGCAGATCATGCAGAGCGCACACTCAGACTTCATTGTGAGGTACCGTCCCTCCACCTTATGCACAGCCGAGATTGGCATTTCATAAAACCCTGTAGGAATAATCCATCCATCACCAGAAAAACCCTATGGCCATAGCTTCCCTTCAGGGGACTTCAGATATAGTCTGGAATAAGGTCTTCCCCAGGCAAACATGAGATTACTCAGCCCATGGGGGACATCCACCCAAGCCTAAACCAGTTTAGGCTCATGCTTTAACTGGTTTGTGTTGGCCTCATCCTATGCTCACATGGCTTTGTGGCTTCTGAAGGAAGCACCCCTCCAGCCTGCAGCATGAGCATGCTGATGCCAGTGGGTGATGCTCTGTGTAGACTTATGCACCATGATGGCATTCCCCTGCTCAAGTTTAGTTTTCCTTTTTCTTTTGAGTTTCTGAGTTTTCCTTTCCACAAAAGGAAGCTGGAAGGCAGGGTTTAGTCTCTTGAGATCGCACGCCGCCATATGAATAAAGTGGTGTATCCCACGCTTCTCTTTAAGGTATATTAGATAGATCCTGCTCAGTGTCCCTTGAGTCATCATGGGCAAATGTGCTAAAACTATATCCCTCCCCAGAATTCAAGCAGATGCAATTCTTCAGTGAATAAAACCAAGCGCCAGGCACTTTTGACCCTAATAGAAAAGTTCTCTGACTCTTCAACATTATGAATA